ATGCAACACTCAAATGATAGCGGACAAGTCCATAGCTGACAGCATCGAAGGACTTATCGGAGCGTATCTAATATCCTGTGGTTATCTTGGTGCGTTGCGATTTCTGAAGTTTCTGGGGCTAAAAGTTTTACCTGAAGTTGACGTCAACGTCGACATTGATCCGCGGGCGGAGAATAGTAAATCGGGTTGCTATGCCAGATTTTGGCCGGATCAGACAAAAATAACAGCAGCGCAAGGTAAAGGAGATATGGTTTTCCGCCTCACTTCTGGCCTGGAAAACTTTGAAAACGAATCAATCTCGTACAATTTCCAGCACAAGTTGTATTTAGTAGAAGCGCTAACCCACGCGTCCTACCACGAAAACCGTGTCACGCCAAGTTACGAAAGACTCGAGTTCCTCGGCGATGCTCTGTTGGACTTTTTGGTCACGCAACATTTGTACTTCCGTCACGTCAACTTGTCACCTGGAGAACTGACCGATATACGACAGGCCTTGGTGAATAATAACATCTTTGCCACCCTTGCCGTAGAACACAGTTACCACAAGTATCTGAAGCATATGTCTCCAAAGTGGTTCCAAACGGTGAAGAACTTTGTTGACAGAGTAGAAGATGAGGCAGAAGAGAGGAAAGATAATCAGCTTCAAACGGTAGGGTGAACTTTATTCTTTAATCCTTTACATCAGTTTTCTTATTCTCCATTCTGTCTTCCATACATTTCCTGAGGTGCTGACAAGGAGAATTTGTTGAACGATCAAGAGCTTCTTTAGTTGGTGATGGAGACGTTTCCTTTACTCTCGTGACCTTAACATGTGATTCAGGGCTGATATCGTAAGGAGAAATTAGGTGCTAATTACTCTCATGGGCCAGAGGGTTTAATGAATATTTTCTCCAGTTGATTTATAAGGTATGTTTCTTCGTTAACAATTATTTGGCAGGTCACCGCTGACCCATTTATTATCGTGTCTAAAGAAGAAGAAGGAATTGAGGCGCCTAAAGTTCTTGGTGACATCTTTGAATCAGTAGCAGGCGCGATATTTTTGGACAGCGGTATGGATTTGACTAAAACCTGGGGTGTGTACTACCGCATGATGAAACCCTACATCGGTAAGTTGGCCATCGCCACCCGCGAGGGTGGATCAACCTCCCATCCTTAAAAGCCTTATCAGCGGAGAGCTCCGAAGTTTTTTTCGCAATAAGCAAGGAAAGGAGTGAGAATGAGTCAGAGAAAGTACATTCAGCATGGAGTTTAAGAATTCAACCCTAGCTATCAACTCCAAAGTGTAAAGGAAGGC